AGCCTTTCTGCATAGCTGAGCAGTTTACTGGACCAGTGGAGCAGCCTTGTTTTGATATTATCGATGAGGGTCACATAATCTTTTTCAGAGATTTTTCTTGTGAGCAATGGTATTCCAAGGTATCTCACTGGCAAAGAGCCGAATTTGAATCCAGTAGCATGCTTAATGCTATCAATTGCTCCCAAAGACATTCTTGCTGCAAAGAATTCGCTTTTAGAGGCATTAAGGTGAAGACCTGACATCTCATAAAATTTATCCAAAACACTGGTTACACCAATGACAAAATCAGTTGATCCCTTACAAAATATAAGTAAATCGTCTGCAAATGACAGATGCGTCAATTTAATTTTTTTGCACTTTGGGTGAAAACTGAAGATGCCTTTAAGAGTTTCCATATTGAGGAGAAGAGACAAGACATTCATAGATAAGACAAAAAGAAGGGGAGATAAGGGGTCTCCTTGTCTTAGGCCTTTAGCTCCCTTAAAGTACCCGGATAAGCTCCTATTTATAGAGACTAAGTAGCTTGCTGTAGTATAACAAGTTTCAATCAATTTGATAAAGGCCCTAGGGAGGCCAATTGATTTTAAGATAGCAAAAATGAATCTCTAATTAAGGAAATCAAACACTTTATGGAGGTCGATTTTCAAAGAACATCTTGGAGACAGATTCTTTCTACTGTAACCTCTTACCAATTCCTGTGCAAGGAGAGTATTTTATATGATGCTTATACCCTTTACAAAAGCCGTTTGGTTTAGAGTTATCATCTCAGGCATGATACAATTCAATCGTCTTACTAGAATATTTGAAATGGCTTTGTAGATTACAGAACAACAAGAGATTGATCTAAAGTCTGTAACCTTACTTGGGTTAGGGATCTTGGGAATTAAAGCAAGGACTGTAGCATTGAAGGCAGGTAGAAGATAGGATTCTTTGAAGAATTGGGAAATTACTGCAGTAATGTCATTTTAATGATGTTCCAGATCTTTTTGAAAAAGAAAGGGGAGAACCTATCAGGACCGAGAGCTTTCTCATTACCTTGATTAAAAAATGCCTCTTTTATTTCTTCTTTTGTGACTTCCTTCACAAGTGCATTTGCTTTATCAGCAGACAAATTGAAATGAAAAAGTTCCTTCAACAGATTTGGATCAATATCCTTTACAACAAGATCAACTTTTCCAAGTAAGTTTGAGAAGAAGTTGGTTATCTCTGTTGAAATCTGATCATAGGTTTCCAATCTATTTCCTTGCTCATTGAGGAGGATGCGAATTGTATCTCTTTTGTTTTGAGGGCAACAGTTGAATGAAATAATTTGGTATATCTATCTCCCTCTTTTAGCCATTGGATTCTTGCTTTCTGCCCAAAAAATAAAGATTATGTTTCCTCGATATTTTTCAGTTCATTCTGGATGAATATATCTTTTTCAATGTCTTCTTCACCTCAGAGAGTCTTTAATTGTTGAATTTCGAGGTCATCTCTTTTTATTTAACCCTGGCAGGAAGTTCACTGTAGGATGCTTGATTAAGGGCCTTCAGACAAGCTTTCACCCTCTTTAATTTTGTGAAAAGAGACTGCATAGGATTTCTATGAGTTGGTAGTTTCCAGGCTTGTTTAACCACTTCTAGAAAATTAGGATGTTGGGTCCAGTAATTAAAAATTTAAATGGCTTTTGTCGGTTGACTTCAATTTCCTTTTTGAGCCACACTTTAGCAAAATAGTGGTCTGAACTACATGGAGCTAGAAACTCAACGTGTGATTCATGGAACGTGCTAGCCCATTTAGAATTAATAAGGACTCGATCTAACTTCCTTGCAAGAAATGTATTCTGCTGCTTATTACTCCAAGTGAGCAAATGACCGAAAAATGGATGATCAAAGAGTTCCAGATCAAAAAGAACGTCTTGGAATTCTTTCATGTCAGAAGATAATAGAGGGCCTAGAATGTCGCAATCAGAGCTTTCGTGTGGATGGAGGATAATATTGTAGTCTCCACCTAAAATCCAAGGGAGATGGCCAATTTTAGCTTCGAGTTCGTGAAACTATTGCCAAAGGAGCCTTCTAGCATTACCATCGTTACTTCCATAAACAAAAGTTATGACAATTGGAATATTTTGAAAGAGGCCTTGAATTGAGATACACTGATCAGAAACTTGGATTACTGAGAAGCTTAAAGATTTTTTTCCAAAGGATCCAAATCCTTCCATTAGAGGCATAATCATAGTTTGAATGTGCATTCCAATCAACAAATTTACTTCTAAGAATTGCAGTAGATTTTTCTTCTTTCACTCTTGTTTCTAGCATACAAAAGACATATATTTTATTTTGTAAAGCTCTTCTTATAACTTTATCTTGTTTAAGAGGACAATTGATCCCTCTTACATTCCAAAAAGCAAGAATCATTGAGAAGGGGTAGTTTTTGTTCCCCCACCAGCACTATCAACTTTTATCTTTGGCATGTCTTGTTTATTTTTCTTTTTTAACTTCAAGTCCTTAACTAAGACAACCACTCCTAGTGAAGATGTACGAGATTTCTTTGGTGGTTCTCCAATGATCAAAGATTCATCAATTTCATTAAGAACTTAGAATCTATTTGCAGAATCAATTGAGCTCGATTTTTCTCTCTCTTTTTGTGGTCTTCCTCTTCCCCTTTTAGGTAAAGAATAAGAGGGATCTCCTTTACTCTTTAGAGTTTTTTCATTAGGAACATAAATTTGAAGGTCTCTTTCAGAGTGATTAGGTTGATCAGTTACATGGTCTAATTGGTTCTTCTCTGTTACTTCAACTTTTTCTGCTTGACCAGTATCCTCTGTAGAGGTTAGGACCTGGTGCACCACTTCATTCCCTTTAGATTTTATAATATTTTTCTCCTTGTTAGTATTGGAAATGCCAAAGGTTGAAGCACCGAATCGGAGAAGGAAAAGCACCGGAAACACGAGGAAGAAGCTCAGAACCATTAGCCCTGCTAACGTTGTTCTGTTGTTACTGTTGAGTTATGGGGTATCTTTTTGGGTTAACGTGTGCATGGGAGTATGGAGCTTCTCTTGTTACAATGGACTTGGCAGGTTATGTTGAGGCATATTCATAGAGAGGGCAATCGTGTTGCCGATGTTCTTCTAGCGAAGCTAAATCGAAGCTTTGATTTGGACTGCTTGTGGTTCAATTCTCCTCCGAATATGCTGCTCTATTTGCTGCAGGAAGAGCGGACTGAAGTTCATGTTCTTATTTTATTTTTTACTGTTAACGATATTATTGAATTTTCTTTCTATGCGTGTAATTTTATTATTTAAATTTTTTCATATATAATTTTAGTGTTATATTTATTATGTGATCATCTCATTATCATTAGTTAAATTATATAACAATAATATTGAATTAATCTTCAAATCTAGGAAGTAGCTCACCCTTTCTTTAGCCGCTCTCTTTTCCTTTATCTTCATTTTTATTTTTTCCTTCGAGTTTGTATCATTTTTATAGATCATATCAATTTTTTCTTCTTTAATTTTCTTTAGCCGACGATGATTCCGACTTTGATGCTGGTTGCCGACCGCCGGTTCTCTTTTCTCTTTATTTTTTCTTTTATTTTTTAATAAGAATAATTTTGTTTGTGTTACACGTTTATCTCTGCCTATGTTGCACGTTTATCTCTGCCTATGTTGCACGCTTATCTATACCTTTGTGTCACGTTTATCTCTACCTTTGTGACACATTTTTTTTGATTTTATTCTCGGTTGTTTGTCTGTTCTTTTATTTATATTTTCTCAGGGTTGAATTTGACGACACCACGACTGATCAAGATAACGCTTATTCGAAATCTTGTTGATCTTTTCTACTATTGATATTTGGATTAAATTTGAATGCATGATTTTTCGTTTGTGGATAGTTTATCGCGACGCTCGACTCTGATCTGCTGTTCTCGGTAGTTTTTCAATAGCTTTTGTGGTTCGTTTGCTGATGTAATCAGATTTATCTGTATCTATTTTAGTCTTTTTATTGGGTTTTTAACTTTTTACATGTAAGATCCTTATATGATCTGACGTGGCTAGTTTCAATGTTATAAGAAAAGTTCAAGTCATGCATTTAGTTTATGATGATATTTGTAAACTCTTATTGTAATTTATGATATTTTTAATAATATCAGCGGTTTCTATTAAAAAATAATAATACTATTAAAATAAATAATTACAAATCTTAACCATTATAATTTCAAAACCACCGTTTTTCATTAAGCCGCCATTGCTAACCATATTCATTATTCAAGTTGAAAATCACACACAATATGAAACTGTGAGTTGAAGACGTCTCCCCTACAACTACATTTTTTTAATAAGATTAAAAAAAAAACTTAGATGCTGTCCTTTTCATACTCGTCATCACTTGATTTTTTTTTTTAATATTTCATTTGTCAGCAGAGCCCTCAACAGGCAAAGCCTTCACCACATACTGGCTAATATATTAATAGCAAATGTAGCTGTAATATTCAACTTGTCTCAACGTAGGCTGTAAATTTTGACAAAATTCATGATGTTAATGTCCTCACTGTTTTCACCATCCAAAGGTACCCGAACTACCGACTGAGGTAAGAACTAGGGTTGTTTAAAATGTTAATTCAGTCATCAATCAATCGAATTAAATTAATCAAAATTAAATTAACAGATTTTAGATTGATTTTTTTTACAAAATTAATGATTGATTTTGTTTGAAAATTATTATTTGAATTGAATAAAGTTCGATTAATACGGTCGGTGTCAAATAACTGAATTCTTTTGTAAATTTTTTAGTTAGATTAATTTAAGTTTAATAAAAGTCCGTTAAAATTTAATTTGGTATTGAAAATTTAATAGATCTATATGATTAAAAATAGTTGAGAAAAAGACAATTCATACCATGTTAGAATCTTAACAAAATCAAAATTCCAAGATTCCCATGTTTTTAGCATTTGTTTATGCTAACCCCTAACCTGCAACATTTGTATGCATAGCCATGCCGTGTAATCTACTTCCATTAGACCTTTTCCTAGTTTGGCCTCGTTTCCAGCTCAGAGTTGACGAAACTAAAGCATCATTTGCTTCAAGAGTTGGATGAATTCGGCTATTTTAGAGGAAGAAACCTTCTTTTTTTTTTGAATCGAGAGATAAAAAAATATAGCAGTCTCAAATGATTGAAGGATATGGTCAATGATGGTGATTCTCTGCTAAAGCCGGGGAATAGTAAGCAGAGTTTTGATTCATACCAATTGCCTCCGGTTCATCGAAGTGGAAAGAGTGCCATGGAGACTGAAGGGAGACAATTCTCTGATTTTTACAGAAACTCAAGCGAGGAGATGTTTATTAAATCATTAATGGAGACTTCAATGGGGATGCCGGTACCAACTATGGAGATGTTGGGGTTCAAGAATCTTTCCCAGAATTTTCGTGCCGATAGTGAGGAGCTTTTCAGAAGCTGGCTCACCAATGGAGAGGCAAGAAACTTTCATGTTGTCACCTTGATTCTTTGGTTTTGCATGCTGATGTAGTTTATTCTTTTATGATCTGATTGTGTGTTTACAGAACCAGGGTCACAATTCTTCGAATATTGCACATCGGACTCGACAAACATCCCGGAGGTATATAGTACTTCGAATTTCCGTCAAGTCTTTATTCCGATTTCTCGTGCCAACTTACACTTGACATACAATTTACTTGGATTGGACTGCAGATTATCGACCGAGATGGCCGGTTTGTTCGGTCAGCAGCAGCCCAGCACTTCGGTTCAAAAGAAGAAGAGCAGTGATGTGTTACTTTTGCAGAATAATCCCATCGGGGGAGAAACTTCAGGGGAATTCAATCAAATTTCTTTGAGGTAAGCGGTAACTGATGTTATCATTTAGAAATCTGCATTCTTTTACATTGTTGTTTAGAAATATGATTTACTTCGGGTTCATTACTTTCCAGAACTGCAGCGGAAAGGGGATTTCAGGCTAGTAATTTGTATTTAGCCAAGGTTGGTTAGTTTTCATGCAGATTTTTTACACTTCAATTAGGGTATTTGACCTTCTGATGTTATCATATTTCTTACTGCAGGCTTGGTTTCATAGTTCACAGCCCATGACCAGAAGTAGATCTTCTGAATTAAGGTATTAGTGATTTCTAGTTTATGTTTATAAGAGTTCTTATCCATCATCGATCCATGGAAGTTCAGTGATGACTCTGTTTCATAGGAAGAGATATTCCGCCATGCAAAATGCTCAAACATCGATCGGTATGGAGGCCGGACTCAATGTTTATGGAAATGGTGTCGGTCAAATGAAAGCAGAGTTATCTGATCCAAATGGTTTCAATGACATTCCCATGTCTGGGATTCCTAATCAGCTGGGAACATTCATGTCGCTGTCGAATTCGTCCTCGTCTGCATTCGATGCACTCCAAACCGGAAATGCAGATAAAGTTTCTTCTGTTGTGAGCATGCTAAAGGGTACGCTAGAACGTAAAAAGCTCAGCAACCAAATTGACAAAGAAGCTGTCCAAGATAGTTCTAGTGTGCCTAATGGCACCTTCAACCAAGGGCAAGAGAATCATTTTCATGAAATCCCGGCTGTTTTCGGGGATGTACCCCTAACGAATGGGGTTCTACAAGCTGTTCAGGGGCCTATGGATCTCGACTTGGAAGGTTTCGCAAATCCCACAAATGCAATTCCGACAAGCACAGTTTCGCGAGAAGCTTCTCAAAGTGAATCCTCGGCTGCTGCACCGGTCATTTCATTCGGCTTCGATGCATGTGATGGACCAAGCAATTCAAGTCAAGCCTTGAGCGTATGTGAAAGTTCAAAGAAACAAGTAGGAAAAAATTGGAACACAGAGAATGGCTCTAAATCTAAAGGTATGCACCATGCACTGCAGCTCAACATTATACAAAGACTTTCTGGCACTCATAATTGACATGAAGTTTCTCTGTTCAACAACAGATTTCAGAGAAATTATAATTGACAACTTGAAAGATGACCGGAAGGTACAATTATTTTACTCTATATGAATTTAATTTTCTTCCCAAACTATGGTGTAAACTGTGAACCTTACCCTGGATTCATTAGCAGAGGGGAGGCCTTGTTCGATATGGATCGGTAACATCGGCAGATTCAGGTACTCATCTCTTCTCCTATAGAAAAGGGTTTATTATCTTCACCAAGACACTAACCTAACCAAAAAGATAATGCAGTGGACAAGGCGGACCCGACGAAGAAACGAAGAGTGGAACGGTCGAGAAAGTAAGTAAAACGATCCGAACAAGCCCTCTTGGCAGTGAGCTCTGTAGTTGTGTAATTAGATGTTTGCGTTTGATGATTAAGGATGGCAGAGGCTAAAGAAAGGAATTCAACCCCACCAATCCCATCTGATATGCAAGCAGTGTTAAAGCGTTGTGAGACTCTTGAGAAGGAAGTGCGTTCACTCAAGCTTAATCTGTCTTTCATGAACAGGTAACTTATTCAGATCAATGTTATCATGTAACGTATAATGTCATTATTAATCCATTAGAGACGTATAATTGTAGAAAGGATTCGGAACAAACGAAGCAGATTGAAGAACTACAGAAGCAAAATGAGGAGTTGTCGTACGAGAAAGAACGACTCTTGGAAGAGATTGAAAGGATCGTTTCGGATTCGGACAACATGTAAACTATATATACTTCAGTTGCATCAGTATTTATAATGTCTGATGAAAATAATGTTAAGGTTACTCTTTCTATATACTATGAATACATACAATCCAAGCACAGCCGTATGGCCATTATTTATCTCGTCCTCCAACCCTCGGTTTAATTTTAGCGTAAATCATCAAATTTGTTACAATTTTTTTTAACCATTAAACTCAATATAGATAATAAGCAAACCGATGATGATCCGTCGCTACCAAACAAAAACAATGGTCTCGACAGGCAAAACTCACGATATAATACTTTCAAAATAAATAATTCACGAGATAATGCACTCTCCATATTATTTGCTGAAATAAGGTGAAATCCACAGTGTGGCCATAGGTCGTCATGCCTTCCGGGCGACCTACTACGTCGTCATGGCTTCCCGGCGAGCTGCACAGAGATAATGGACGTCTGCATGTGCCATGCACGTCCCCAACACCCCCAACACAGGTCGCCATGCACTCCCAGCGACCTACAAGGTCGCCATGCACTCCCAGCGACCTTGTAGGTTGCCAAGCAGTCCCGGCGACCAAACTTAACCCTGCTCCCTCGTGCATGCGTTGCATCCATAGCTGGGAGATTACAACCAAGCTTTAACCCTCTGTTCCCTCATGCATGCGTTGCATCCATAGCTGGGAGATTCATGCATCTATAAGCGTTAATTTAGCTGCTAAATGCAACAAATATTGCTGTTGAATTGCAGCCTTTCAACGCTCAATAGTTACACGATTCAATGCTCAATATTATTTGCTTCAACAGTCAAATTTAATGACGCTCTCTAACGCACATTTTCTTTATATAGAGGATATAGGGGTTTAGGGTAAAAGCAGAAGCATCACATATAGAAACTTTACCGAGAGAAAGAAAAGAAAGAAGAAGAAAATAAGATAAAGGCTCAAACATTCTTTTTTGAGATAATTTTTTATTGTTTAATTTAGTTTATTATATGAAATTATTAGTTTGTTAGCTTAGGGTTTAGGGTAAAACTAAAATTTAGTTAATTAGTTTGTTAGTATAAATTATTAGTTTGTTAGTTTAAGTTATATTATATTAGTTTGTTAGTTTAAGTTATATATTATATTATATAAAAAATTAGTTAATTAGTTTCTTAGTTTAAGTTATTAAATATAAAAAAAATTAATTAATTTGTTATTATCTTTAAACGTATATTAGGTTGTTTGTTGAAGTTATATTACAGAAAAAATTAATTAGTGCTTAATTAGTTTGTTAGTTTGTTATTTTAACTAAGTTATATTATAATAAATAAATAATTTATTAGTTTAAGTTATATTATAATATATTAGATTATATAAAATTAATTAATTTAATTTATTATTGTTTAAAGAAATATTTTGTTTACACATACAGTGCATTATTCCACAACATTTGCCTACGTACAGATTGATTCGAAGACTTGAACAAGAAAGGAAAAGAAAGGAAAGGAAGAATGCACAAATACGCGGGTAATTTATTATTTTTTGTTGTCCATTTTTAGTTGTTGTGTATGTGTAAATTAGTTAGTTAGTAAGTTTATATTAGATAATTTGTGCGAGATAAATTCCGTTTAAAAAAATATTGTGTTTAAAAATATTTAGTGTTTTTAAAAAAAAAATATTTTGTTTAATTTATATTATATGTGTAAATTAGTAAGGAATAAAAATTAATTGAATGAAATAATCCGGCCAACGCATTATCTCGTGAAATAATTTTTTTGAAAACATTATCTCGACAGTTTTGTCTAACAAATGTGTTTGATATTTTTAAAAAATAAAAAAATATTATCAAACTAATATTATTATTATTAGTAATCATTATTAAATGATTAGTATTAAATATAAAACATTAAATATTTATAATAAATAATTATTAGTAATCATGACTAAATCATATTATTATTAAATCATTAAATATCAAATCATTAGATTAATAATAATTATTAAATCATTATTAGTAATATTAGTAATCAAACAATTAAGTTAAATAACAAATTTTATTTGATCGTTAATATAATAGTATATTATATTATATTTAATTATTTAATGATTTATGAAATTATCTTATATAATTTTTAATCTAAATTTATTGATTTTTTTATTTGTAGAGAAAATGAGCAACAACTTTTTTTACAATTGTCCATTATAATGGACATATTATAGAAAATGAGGTCGGAGTAGTTTTTCAGTCTGAAAAACCAATAAATATGATGTTCAAAAAAGACATCACATTTATAGAAATGAAGCATAAGATAGAAAGAAAAATTTGAGCTGTAGTTGATGGTTTGAGGTATAGGTTTATGATATGCCTCAACCCAGTCAGATATGCTGCAGTTCCACTTAAAGAAGATGATGATATTGGAACCATAGTTGGATTACATGAGTTAACCAATATAACAGTTATTGAGTTATTTGTTGATGTGCGTAATATATGTGATGTTCCTGGGTCATCAAGAGGTGTGGCTCAAAATCCATATGAAATGGCTTTATATAGTCAGTTTGAGGAGTCGACATACAGGTTCCCGAACAGTTTTATGGCACTATTGGAAAGTGTAAATGAAGTCGGAGGGACATCTGCAGCAGCAGAGTATGAGACGAGAAACATACCAGAATTGGTTGTTGATATTGATGCTGAAAATCGATGGGGAGAAATTCATGATGATTCATGCGAAGATGAAGAAACCGAAGAACCCGTTTTGGGCGACGATGAAAATATTTTCGGTGGAGGTGCAATCGATGAAGTTCTGGCATTGTATGAAGCTACTCCTCACATGTACGATATAGACTATGATGCGATGAGGGCACCTGAATTCCAGACATGCCACATTTACCTCCATACCAAATGACTGAATCATTCGATAATTCTGGTGAATTTTCAGTTGGGGTGCAATTCAGAGGAAAAAATGAAACTACCCTGTCGATTAAAGAGTACTGCATCAAATGCCATGTTGATGTCCATGTTGTAGAGTCCAAACAGAAAACCCTATACGCGAAGTGTGTAAAATATGACCCATAGTGCAAGTGGAAGATCAGAGTGTCGAAAAATCAAAGGCACGATGTTTGGGTCATCACAAGGTACAATGGTCAGCTCACATGTTTGCGAAACTCCATCGAACTAGACCATCGACTATTGGACTCCGATGTAATATGCGAATACGTGAAGGCGATGGTTGAAAAGGATCCAATGATATCTTATTCAGTGTTAGCTGCATCTATTCGAAGCCAATTTGGATATCAAGTAAAATATGACAAGGTGTGGAATGCGAAGATGAAGGCAATGAAGCTGATGTATGGAGCTTGGGATACATCATACAATGAGCTACCACATTTGCTACAAGCAATGAAGCGATTTATCCCAGGAACCATAATGAAGTCTCAAACCATGGTCGCATATGATGAAGAAGGTCAACTTCTGGCAGGGAAGAAAATATTTCATAGACTATTTTGGGCATTCAAGGCATGTATTGAAGGATTTCCATTTTGCAAACGTCCAAGTAGATGGTACGTGGATGTATGGTCAATATAGACATGTACTTTTAATGGCAGTTGCTCTAGATGATGAGCGGAATATCTTCCCAATTACATTCGCTATTGTTGAGGGAGAGACAACAGAGGTTTGGGATTTCTTTCTGACCAATCTACGTCAATATGTCGTTCGTGAAGATTGAGTTTACTTGATATCCGATAGAGGAACGGGTATTTTGGCGGCAATTGAACGAATAGGAAGTCGTTGGATACCTCTATATGCATATCCGACATTTTGTATCTGTCATATTGGCAAGAATAGTATCGACCAATTTCATAACGCACACATTCGTAGCGAGATAGTCAGCATGGGTAAGTTTTATTTTCAATATTTGTGCATTTTGTACGTGGTTTTTTTAATTTCTGTTTAACACAATATATTATGAAACAGGATACGAACTACGTCGACCAAATTTTGACAAGAGATTGGAGAATTTGAAGGTATTTTACGATGATTTTAATCAAAATAAATATTTTATAATTAATATTTTATATTAAAAAAGAGGATCCATATTACCTTCCGACAAGTGGAAAGTCAACCGCAGTCCGACTAATCGGTGTCAAAAACAGAAGTCTATGACAAGCCCATGATTGTAGCAGTAACAGACATCCATCGATTTCTACTGTATTATTATCATTCACGACTAATGACACCTTGCACATCTCACGGTACAAGAACGCTAATATCGCCGATCCCCAGCTATAATATATATGCTCGTGTTGCATATATAATTTCGTGCTCCGTACTATTTGGTTGAAGCTGAAATTCATTCTTCAACCATGACAACCTCACACGCCACCCTCTACACTCTGGTGGTATGGACGCTTTCCCAAGAAACAAGCTGCAAAGTTGTGCCACATTATTAAACTCATGTGACATTACCACAAGCATCCCATTTGTTTGTACCCCGAGTTGCATTGCCACATCCTCAAAAATTATCATACATTCACCACACGACAAATGAAACGTGTGCGTTTCTGGTCTCCAACGTTCAATCAAAGCACTGATCAAACCTGGGACCAACTTATAATCTCGCACAAATGTTACATACCAAAATTCAGCCTCTTGCAAGTTTTCTTCGATCAATGGGTGTGGCTTGGGCACTTTATGTAGCCGAAGACGATGGACTCGCTGCTCGTCCTCTTGCAATTAAATATTTCAAAAAATTTATCACAATCATAAAATAATATTCAAATATTTATTAATTATAATTCATTAAACAAATATTTTATTCACCATTATTCCCAAATGACTTGAAATATGTTCATTGTCAAGTCTCAGCAGTGGAATTTAGTAAGCCATTGGAATGAATATGTAAAAAAAATTAAACAACAATATTTAAAAAATAATTTAATATAATATAATCTAACTAACTAACTAACTAATTTACAACACAACAAAAAAAATTTAATATAATAACTTATAATATATTAAACTAATAAACTAACAAACTAAACTTTTTAAAATATAAGT